GGTCTTAAAATAATTGAGAAGAATTTGCTACCTTTCTATAACATCAAGAAATGGTTAGATATTCTAGTCTTCTCGGATAGGGACGAATAAATGGAGGTCCCGTCTCCTGCAGGGTTAGGGGTGGGAGACGTTAATTTCCCACGCACGAGATTACTGTGTGATGGATGTCCTCCCTGGGGTGGGATGGGTGGGTTTGTCGGAGCTTAAACCTCGTAGGGGACCCATGTCCTATTGTTTCTGCGCCAGTACTTGGTACAAATAAATAAATATATAAATAAAGATCTAGTCCTCGGAGGAATCCTAAATCCTATTATTTGATTGGTCCCCAAGACGGTTTCAGCCTTTTACGGCAAATTATTAGGTTGAGGAATTCTATTTTCAAAAGTTAGTCTTTAAAAAAAGTTAACCACAAAATGTTTTTCGTTGAACTGTAAGGGAGAGAATTTAACCGCAACCGTAAAATGGCCAAAATTTTAACCGTCAGTCGTAAAAACCCATCACTTCATTAGCGCCCTTTTCATCAAAATAAAGCAAAACTTGTTAGTTTTTTCATTTTCCCCTGCTCTTGTTCGGGTCCACGAGTGAGCGAATTTATACACCCGGTTATTTTCGTTGTTTTCATGCAATCATTGTTGTAATAACTCATTTTTTTCCAAGAACCGAATAAAGCGATATTTTCTACCAAACTGATTACGGTACGATGGGCGGACTCAGAGCCCAAATCAAAATCGTTACCCAAAACACTTTCTTGCAAAATTCATAGGGAAACAAAGAAAAATAAAACCAACAAAAAGAAATGAATCACGGTGAGCATCGCTTTCCCGGTCAAAGAAATCTTCAAGCACGATATTGTTCGTGCTCTTAACGATTGTGGCGGTTAGTTTTCTACACTGGAACGGAAGGGGAGCGAATTGCAATGCAAGGGTCTCTGTCCTAAACATACCAATTTAGGGGGGAAAGCAACTCGCTGCACTCCGGTGTGATTGACGAAAGAGTTGGGATTCGTTGCAAATTTCTGGATATTGGGGATCAGCGGTGATTGAAATTCGCATAAACCAGGAGAAATACTTTATGGAACTGGCTTTCAGTTGTCTTTAATGAACGAAGCAACCTGTGAATCCTGTGAATTTTTAAATCAATGGTTGTACGATCACCGAATGTCACACACTAGTTCAGAGGATTTAACATAAATTAAGATACGTAAAATTTATCTACCTCAATTCTGTGATCTAAATTTCTTGAAAGGTCGAGAAAGAAATGTAAATTAAGTATTATTGGCTTTTATTCATATTATTGTGTCAGAAACATGGCAGCATTTTCCTATCAAGGTACAAGCTACAAAAACAGTGACATCGAAGACGCCTATTTTGAGAATCTGATCCGGAAAGGGACTCCCTTGAGACTAAAGACAAAGTTTCCTTTGTTTTTTTTTTTTCTTCCTTTTGAAGGAAATTTTTTCTTCCTTTTGAGATCAGAAACTGTATCAAGTTCTTTCCTCTCAAATACCACGTTTAAAGGGACATCGATAGTCTGTACGTGTTGCGGAAATCTTATCTTGGGAAATCGGGACAGGCAGGAAAAGTAAACAAGACCAAGTAACTGAACTAATCAGTGAAGACAGTGAAATCTATTCGTTTTGTGCAAAGACAATTCTTCTTCGTAGAATTCCCTTTTTTTTTTTTTCTCAAATTGGCATATCAGCCATCTTGTGCCTGATGCCAATTATATGACTTGCCTTTCATTAGCCTCTGAACACACAATCGATGAATCTTCCTTAGAAATTAAATTTTAAAACAATGTAGACATTCATCGTTGCTACAATAACCATCCGTTCCGAGAAAAAGGAATAAAATGTGGGAATAATGATTATTTTCTGCTTAGGGCAGCATTAAGGAACTTTCAAAAGCAGAATTTACCGTGTCATCCCATTCCTTTTGTTTCCCTGAAAGGAACTTGAAAGCAAAGCGGAAAAACTCCTCCAGCAGAATTTCTTCCTTGAAAATCGGTTCACATCTAAATCCAGGAAATAGACGTGACTGCCAAGCAAAGCTTAACTTTAACGGGCACAAATTTTTTGAATAGCCCAAGTTTAAAAATGGACTTCAAGTCATGAACAACACATGGACGATAAAATTGTTATGATGTAATGAAGCCAAAAGACCTAGATTAAAGTTTTCAATTGTGGTAAGAAAATTACTGTTTAATTTTAAAACAAGGAGCCCTATCATTTAAAGTCGATGTTATGTAAGGAATTATATCAGTTTACGACAAACGCTACCATTTGAAACAAGGAAATGCCCGTGGAGTCTCATAATTGATGGTCAATGTTATGTACGTAGGAAACACACGTCAAACGCTCTTAGCAATCAGGCCGATAATAAATGTACGTGACAAGGAAGATTTCCTTGCCGTCTGCAATACAGCATGGAACATTTTTCAAAGAAATGGTATAACAGAAAATCAGGCAGCATAAAGAATTCACTTTGGATATATCAACAAAGTTGAAATGATAAATTGGCCACCGTAACGATCACAAAAGCTAACGTTTAGAGCGTTAGCCCTTCGTCGGAGCGAAAAGACTGAATTGTGGGTTGTGTGCGCTTTTAAAGGCAGAAAATTGGTGGGAACATGGCAACGAGAAAAACACGAATAAATTAGTGGAATAAAGAATTTACTATGCGGAAAATGTCGTTCTAAGCGACCAGGAAAAATTACAAATAACCAACTCTTTTACGGTGTTTTGTTGTGATTCTACAAGGCAATTATCGTGACTGAGGGTTTTGTAATTGTCCATAATGCCGGCATGCGCAATCGATTTACGTAAGAACCACTTGAAAAGAAAAATCCGTAGTATAGACTTGCAGTTAATGCTAAATTTCTCCCGGAAAAGCCTGTTGTTTTTAGCTTTTTCAAGCAACGCAAAAGAGACAACTTTAAACAACCGGTGAGTTAGGGATAGCTAAACACGAACTTTTTTGACGTCGTTTTTGCTGAGCCGGTCAAGCCGTTAAAATGCAAGGCTGTCATGTCAGGTCGGATACGTTCATCTCGCAAACTATAGTCGTCTCCAAACCATGCGTTTCAATCTTTTCCATCTTTGCCCATCCTCGTTCTTCCTTTGCTTGTGGTCACCTCTTTAGAATCTTCCTATCTTACATTATTGATTTTCTGGGATTTCCTTTCAATCTGAATGTAATTTTGTTCTTCCCTTAAAAAAAAATATTCGGATTGCCGCAACGTAGCATCTTCGACGATAGCGAGGAAATTACAGTCTGACGGACAAATTTAAAGCTTCAGAACGCAGAAATATCTCCGATACGTTTTTATTCAAAATTCACAAGCAACAGAGATTAACTTTGAAAGAATGTTTCTGCCGAGAACTGAAAACTATCATTCATTTCTCCCGTTTAGTAAAAAAGCGCTAAACTAAGTCCCTTCGCTCTATACTTTGGATAATTTTTTTCCAGTCGCTTGTCCACGATGCCTGCATCAGGTTACCTAACTTGAATTTGCGGTTATGTCATCCGCTGTAACAAGGAAGTCGCACATGGAACTCGGGAAAGACGTAAAACATTTCTACGTTCTATGTATTACTCTGCGACCCTAGGGCAAAAGATATGTATCGCGAATTACGAAAGCAGAGTACGTGCTGTGGAAGAGGATGTCGAAACCAGCCACTTCACGACACTGCACTTTCCATCGTGCACCAAGGTTTTTTTTTTTTTTTTTTTTTTATTTTTTTTTTTTTATTGTATCCCAAGAGGAACATCTAGCAAACCCTTGATGTCCTGTTCAATAAATTAATTTCCATTTTAGTATACTTCATTCGGTTTATACACACTTGAAAAATTCTGCTGTCACAAATCTCAAATTACAATTTATTTTGACTCATTAGGGCGAAAAACTGACGAGCCTGTATAACGGAAACAAAACCGACTTCTAATTAACCTTCTATCTAAATAACAACAACACAGTTAATAAAGTCACTCTCTCTCCCGCTTCAATGTGTTTTCACCAAGAATTCTCGATCCTGCATTTCTAAGTAATATTATTTCATAAATACGTACGTGTCTTACTGTGAGTACTACCCTAAAATGGATTGCTTTTTCGCTCAGATATTTTAACGCCTCGACCTTAGGTTTAAGTCGCGAAAGCTTTCAAAGAGCCGACTGAATTTTCACCAAATGTTTCCTATATTCTTCTTTTTTCGGTCTTTCTGTTTCCCGTACGTTTAAGTCAAAAAAACCCCGAGCGACAGCTTCACGAAAATAAATATTCTTTCTCGCGACACTCGACTCTTTCTATGTAGAAAGAGTTTTAAAATATCAAAAACTAAACCTGAAACGTAACATTACTAAAACTAAATTGAACATGTTGCAAAACGGTGAAACACATCTTAAATTTATCATATATTACTCAATCTTTCTTACGGTTCAATAACTTAAAAATTCGTAACTAAAATCTCTTATTTCTATTTGACAAATTGAATAGAATAATACAACTAATACAATCTTCACTTGTCTATTTCTCTCTTTCTTGCCCAGTAAAACCGTAGAGGATTTCAATAACCGAACTTGTTTATAATACACGGATTAATAAATTAGTATAACGCATAAATGTTCTCTTTCACTCAGTACACGAGTTTTGTTTCTGTTTTCCACTCAAAGAGTAATCCATGTATTAATGTTGAAACAGCGCGTGTTAATCATATGCTTTGATTCCTTGAGTAACTGTCACACTTGAGGTTGGATTTCCTACGAAGGTCGCACCAGTTTGTTAAATGCTTCATGTACGTTGTTCTTTAAGCTGTTATGGAATCTGGCACTGGACTAGTGGGACTGGATGGCTCGTTTGATTTTGCCATTTCCACCGAACATGAATGGGGTGATTTAGCCTCGCTAACCTGGTCTTCTGAAGCGGTTTTGTTCTTCAAAATGCAGTTATGGCTTTGGAACATTCTCTCTAATTGTTCTTTTTGCGCCTTGAGGGCCACAAGTTCTTTCTCCAAACAACTCCTTTCAGAGTTTAACTCGTCGCTCTCCTACAGATTAAAAAAAAGAGTCAGTCAGCGAAGCTTTTCCATTAAGCAGACAATAAAATACGAGTGTCTGCTTATCATAGAATTGAAACCCAATATATGGTTCTAAACAAGACTGGAATGCAGAACTAATAGGAAACTGAAATTGATTGTACACGTTTAGGCCCGGTTGAGCTAGCCAACTTTTCTCGAAAGTTATCATTCGATAATCACTTGCGCATTTCACAAACATCTAATTATGAATCATTGACGAGAGAATGTTTCATTCTTCTTTCCAATTGAGAACTCTCAACATCGTCGCTTGACTCGCCCACGTTTGATGACAATAAATTCAGACAAAGTGTCTGCTATTTTTACCCCAATAATTGTACTAGCACAGCTATAAAATGCTTTAGTGCTTCTTTATCATATCTTGAACCATAACTGTTTGCCCTTTTGTGTTATTTTCTAAAGAATTCGCTGGAGTAAACTGGGACCACACCTATCCGACTCCCACGAGTTCGGGATATGATTCACATTTCCCGTTCTTTTTTTTTTTTTACCAAATTTGGTTTTAAAGCATAAGGATGGCGACAGGCGTCCGGAATTAAAATCTCGGAAGTGACGTGGAGCTATTTTTTAGGGAAAGCTACTCCATCACTGAGATTGATCCCTTTGTTGAAGGAACAAAAATTTCACCGAGCGGAACTGAAACGGAAGCCCTTAACCTTTCATGTAATCCACGTGACTTAACATTAGTCAGGTTGTCATTTCCGGTTAGGAGCGTGACATGAATCACAAGTTTTAAAAATATTTGACTTTGAACACTCACATCTTGAAGCTTCTGTATGTGTTCCTTCCTTCTTTGCCTGCATTTGAAAGCCGCTACCTTGTTTCGTTCTCTTCGAATTCGACGTTTCTCTTCCTCCTCTTTGGAAAGCTAGCGAGAAATGAAAACAAGAGGAAATTATTTTTCACGTACGTGACCTTGGATGATACTCAATACACTTTTAGAAGGGAAAACCACAAATTAGCATACCTATTGTTCGTGAAAACCACAACATTAGATTATGAATTCAAAATAATCACGCAAAAAATGTGAAACGCGAAATTTAAACATACCACTTCGAGTCTAGGTTTCTTCGCTTCGATTAGCGGCATTCCATCCAAACCTTGGGCAACTCTACGCGTTTTGATCGCGTTCCGAAGTCCCGCTTTCACTTCGTCTCCTGCACCACTACTCATTGGAACGAGTTCTGTATAACTCGCATCTTCACTAGATACCTGTTTTTGCAGAGAAAAAAAAATAAGTGTTGAGTAAAATATATTTAATGTCAAATTAACTATACTTGCCTATATTAAAGCGATCGTCGAACCACACGCAATCTCGCCTAACTTGAAAATATGAAGCGTACGTGAGAATAACAGCGAAAACATCGCTTGCTAACGTCAAATATTTTTTAAAGGAAACGAAAAATTCGACAGCAACTTTACTCTGGTGGGTATTAAAACAACTAGATGCCGAGACTAAAATTGCAAAGTCAGGTTTAAAATCAGTGTTAGTTGTTACGCACTAATAATAGCACTCTGACCTAACATGATTGATTCAATGTTTTTTATCAAATCGTGCTTCTGAACGGTAGAGCTACACAGAGAGTCACTTTCCTAAAATTGGCAGATAAAACCAAAGTAAGTGTAAGAAAAAAAATTTTACACTGCGGAGACGTCGATAAGCAAAAGTTCTCTATGAAAATTTCGCCCACAGCCGTAACCACATCGAACGACGCGCGATGCAAATACGGCTAGTAAACAGACTCCGGAGAAAAATTTAAAAATTGACAAAACCGAAACAAAAATGCTGTGCTTACAATAGAGTCGCTGTCAGATTCATCCAAATGGTATGGAACGGGCATTTTTGCTCCTCCAGACAAAAAATTTCGCTCGTCGCCAGGGTTTGTGTCCATAGGCAAAGGCAGATTCAAGTGTGATAGCAACATGTTTGAAGACGAGGTTTTATTCAAGTCGAGCACGTGGGTGTAGTCGAGCATCAGACAAAGATTTACTTTTCGCGCCTGTCCAATGGTGTTTTTCCCTTGATAAGGCTTGTGTTTAGCTGAGATCACCTTTATTCTGGGAAAGCCCCAGCGCCGACATATATATTATTCGATTGGCCTCGATGAATTAACATATATTACAGATGTTCTAAAAATAGAGACAACGATTGACTACGTCACGCCTCTTGTGCCAATCATAAGCTCGCATTTTTTGCTGCGCTATGGAAACATCAAACAAATAGAAAATTCAGGAAGGCCTGGTAACTGTAGTTAAGATAATAAACTCCTTTGCATCTGGGAATTTTTTCGCGTTTTCGGCCCATTGTTCAAACTTTTCTGCTTAAATTTGAAAATAAATGTTCTCATGAAAGTGAGTCGTGACGCCAGAGAAGTTTTTCTATCGGTTTCACCGAGGTTTCAGCATTTCGAGAAGCATTATGCCGAACAATCTAGAACAACAGCGGCGCGTGACAGACGTAAGCGAAATAAATTATTCAACGTAAAAGGCTTGCCCTGCAGATTCGATTGCGAAATATACAATCTACGAAGCACGATCTGCCTTTAGCCAGCTGATACCTGTTACGTTTATTTTTTAAAGACGTATATTTCTGTTATCCGCTGCCAGAAAATTGCTTGATACCCAATTTGCGTCAGAGATGATGGAAAAAAGGTATTTCACAATCGTCTGCAATTGATCTACAAAATGTAAACAAACGTCGGTCCGTAGAATAATTGACTGAAACGCAAATAAAAAAGATAAAAGACGAAATTGAACTCAGCAACATCGATCTTGAAGTCTTTTTTGAGCAAAATCAAGCTCAGTGAATAGGATTTTCCTTAATTGTTTAATAATATGTTTTTTTCTCGTAAACTTCTCATCCGTGTGTAAGAATAAATGTCATAGTTTCTAATTTGCAAATTTTACTCAGCTTAACATGCAACGAATTATCTTTTAAAAGTGCTAGCACTATTATAAATTCATCTTCACCTTAGTGTCAAAATGGGGAAATAGGCGACGTTTCTGCAGGTTTGCAGCGACGATCGCAGGGGATTCCTAGTAAATTGGAATTGGGGACTAAACCCGGAACTGAATAAAAACTCATTAATCGCCGGCGCGGGCAAAAACCCACGTATTTATCCTGATGTTACTCAGCAAGCTACGGCAATGATTCAGTCATGACTCAGCTAAGTTTTACAATGGGGCGCTCTGAAAAAACATGACTCGAGTTAACCTTTGTTAGGTTTTTTTTAATCATCTCATATAAGAAGTCACGTTTGTCTTCTGTGGAAAATTTCCCTACGCTGGAAATGTCTTGGATGGTCATCAAGTGTTATCGAGTGTTATGAATAGCTATCTAAATTCTTATCTCTGAGGATGATTTTGCAGTTTTCGTGTTTACCAGAAGCGACCCTCTCAAACGGCTTGTCAGTCACAAGCGTATTTTATTTACGCAGTTAGCTAGAATTTAGTGACGCCAGCCTTGGATTATCACATGCATTTCGAATGTTGTCCGATGAGCAATAGTGACGTCACAAACGACTACTATCACATTTACTGGGTTGAATCTGCTGAAAAACCTGATGGTAAAAAGTTAAAGAAAGAAAAATGCTTATCTGTTTCCGTCGGGAAGGGCACTATCTTCCGTGTCAAAATTTTGAAGAGTGTACTCGTAGAACTGGTAGTCTGACAAATATCGTTTGATTTACTTCGGGAACGGCTAAAAAAAATTTGGCCAGCTTATCTGCAAATTGACGCTTGACTGGCAGCAGGAGAAAAAAAAGCACATGGTTCAACATCCAAGCAAAATTCATACCTATGAGATGGTGGATATATTTATATTTTAGAGAGCATTTGGAGGATTTATTTTCATCCAAGTGAGCTCCAATTATTTCTGATTCCTGTTAACCTTTTTTTTTCGGGCATTTAGTCTTAACTTTGTATAATTCCATTATAAAAGCAAGCTACATTTCAAAACTTCCCTTGTGAAAATTGGACGCGTGTGTTGATTAGAACAAGCATTACGTATTTAGCAAAATTTTGCACCCCAGTTTTTTAGATCCTTCCAGTAGATAAAGCGTCCTTTAAATCAAACTACATACAACATGGAAGATAATTACGTTCGTCGGAACTTTAAAGAATGAAGGTAAACAGAGTGCTCTAACAGTTTGCAGATGCACTGCAATTTGGCCAGGTCATTTTCAATGTTGGAATAACGTCAAAGTTGCACATGTCTCCAAATAATTGCGTATGTTACGGTCTTTGTGACAAACTGTTTCAGCAGTCGCAGCGATTTATTGCGTCAGCTGAAAGGTCACCAGTCAATGATTGTGAAATTTATAAAGTAAATAATAAACTTAAGACCCGCTTTCTATGCCAAACCTCAGAAAAATCGAAAGAATTTCACCTTCTTGCGTCATCTTTGATAACGTAGTTTACGTTTTGCAAAACCTTTCTTTCGCTTGAGAGGTAAGAAAAATCAGTCAAACGATACAAACAACTGAGAGCTACTGAGGGAACTTAACTTGTAGCTAACTGCAGTTAGCGTGACAAATGCTAAGGACATGAGTCTAACGTAAATTTTCATTTATTTAGTACGGTATACTCGCGTCATTTGGAACAAAACTGTTGATAAACAGAAAGCGATCCTGCAAATGACGAAGGTACTTGTTTTTATTCCTGAGATTTTACTGGGAGATTTCCAATTCTTTCGCTTCTTGTGACGTAATTTGATATTTCGATTTTGACAAAGCAGAAATATTAATCGATTAATTAGTCACGGTACGTGCATATTTCACGATAATCAGGGTCCAAGTTCCAGATCTATTAATAGCTGTTTAAGTGAATCTTCGCCACATGAACGAGAGGACGCGTGCATTTTCGTCCCAGTATTCCTGATTTCTGCCCTCACCTAAAATAGTCTCATTACATCTAACTCAAGAACATGATGCGAATGAGGTTGAACGCACATGAATGCCTCCAGTTTAAAAATTCCTACGTCGTTGTCAAAAGGATCACGTATAGTAAAACGTATTAAATTAGGACACATCCAAAGATAGACAAAATAAATTTCTCGCGAGCTTTTGTTGCCAGACAAGTATTTCCAGCCTTTTACGGTTAAGGGAACATCGATATCAAGGGTCCTGCACGCAGGATTATATGAAATGAAATGTGAATAACCGTTATTGGTACATCGATGCCCATAAAAGGAACAAAATTCGGAGGAAAAAAAAAAATTATGAAAGACCCGTGAAGTTTTGTCGACCAAACAGCCCTCAAATGATCGGAAAAAAGCGTTTTACAGAGTGTAAATTGTGTTTCGACCAAGCAAGAGGGGTTTTCAAGTTTCTGAAATGAATCCTGAATGACCGACCAAGCCTGTTAACTTTAAACTCGTGAGGCGACTGCACTAAGGAGCCTTTATCCTCTAAAACCCCATTTAAGAGAATGCAGATTATTTCGTCAGCTTAAAAACTATCCGAAATCCTCGAATAAAGGCCATTAATGCACAGAATAATGCTTTCGAAACGCATTAAACATGTCTGCGTTCCGGTCTGTTTTGAAGTCGCGCCATCAGCCAGAAATGGCATGTGGGGCTTTTATCGGCTATTAATAGATTGGGGAAGCATACTCCAAAATAGCGTATTTCTATGATTTTGCTGAAATGGTATATGAACTGATTGTGAAAAATTTTCCTATCTTGCAAAAACTGCTTAACTTAGTCATTTTTCGGTTATAAACACTCGTTTGCTAGATCGACCATCTGCTACAGCTAAGCTCAAATAATCCGCCTGAAACTTTTTGACTTTGCGAGGACACGAAGGCCGGAAAAGCGTTTGATAAACAATCCTTTATCCAAGGAGAGCCACCAGAAAATTTCGACCACTCCGCTGACTTTCAAAGTCAGCGATATCACTCACTCCACGACTATAACTTTCCTTGCCTGTGTCAGTTAAAGTTAAACGGCACAGATAGATCGATGTCTGGGAATAAAGAGCTGCGGGCATATGAGTCCGTTAGCCGGTCTGATCAATTAAGAAATCTCAATCGGTTAACAACTTATATTTCAGCCCGATTTCTGTAGAGAAAGGACATTTCAAGGCAAATGAACACGTTGTGAGCTGGCTTGTTCGTGTGTGTGCGTAGTCATGCCCTGTTACTCGGAGTGGGTATTACCTCGCATAGTGTCAACAAAATCTTGCCACAGGAAAGAGGTACTCCTTTGTGTCACGAAATCGCGAAAAAACCGATCCAGCTATGTCGACCGAGCTCATATTAGGAGGCTCTGTTTAAAATTCACACGACGTGCAAGTAAAGAAAAATATCGGTGTCGTTTACGGTTGAAACGTTACTATTACTGTTTTTTTGCCTTGTTCAGTTTGTCGCTTAGCTTTGAATTACTCGTGGACCGCCGTAAAGATCATTCCTTAACTCGACTCTGTTGATCACTTCGCTTGAAATAGCCTCAAACAGTGATGTTTATGACCGTTGTTAGGCGCAATGTCTGTTTTGTAGGCACTGAAGCGTAAACGCATGCTGGGTGAGCTGAACAGACTTATTAAGCTGTGTCGTGTTGGCTGAGGGGTTACGCGGCGACTATTCTTGTCACACGATTACAATTCTCGTCATATTTTGCGCCAAAAATGTTTGCATTCGTTGTGAAGACTACGACGCATTATTTTGGTATGATAGAAAAAAGTGAGAGGGGCATTAATAAACCAAGAAGAGGCAGATTACAAATGACAAACATAGCTTACAAGACAGAGTCTATTTTCGATTTGTGTTAGGTGTGACAAAGCTATTTCGGAAGCTTTTTCATTTACAGTCACACAAGTATGAAACTTCGGCAAGTTTTATGACATTCGTTCTGAAGTGATCGCGATCGCGATCGCGATCTCAAAAGGGAAAAAAAAAACTACATGTTGGTCCAATGTCAACTCACGCAGAAAAAAGCACGATCGTGTTCATTTTCGGTGAGCCAGGTGAAAGGTACCACCTCTACTCCTTAGATTATGTTTTTTCGTCAGTTTGATACATGGGCTCTTCGGCGTCTTAATTCTTCAACCTAACAGAATTAATATGCTTTATTGCATTGGTTAA